ATCCCATCTACCTTTGAAATCAAGAGTACAAGAACGCAACATGTCCTCAAGCGTATGAATAGTCCTCTTTGCTTGCCCGTCGGTTTGAGGATGAAAAGGTGTGCTAAGATTTACCTACGTACCCAAACCTTGCTAAAAAATCTTCTAAAAGTTGGTTGTGAACTGAGCCCCTCGATCTGAAATGATTGAGACTGGAGTGCCATGCAATTTGACAATTTCTTTGATATACAACTAAGTAAACTGTTGAGCTGTGTTGGTAAATTTAACCATCAAACTGGCTGACTCTGCGGCGATTATGCGGTCCGCATATCTATTATGCGACCACATAATGGACCGCAGAAACGTACTTTTCTGGAAAACATAATTCCTTGACTTTTTAATGCACAGATCAATCCAAAGGGTGGTCCGCACAGCTGCGAGAAAGCTCGTTGCGAAAATTTTTATGAATTTCTAACACATGATCCTAACATGGCACTATAAGATTCGGGTTTATTAGTAGAAATTTTCACGGGGCCTTACATACTCCCCCATTTACGATCATTCATCCTCGAATGAGCACCAAGTTTCACTTATTAGCAATCTTTATGCAATCCCTTTCTTTTCACAACATGAAACATATTAATAGTCCTTAAATTTGGCTAACTCCTTAAATTTTCCAAAACTTTCGCCAGAGTTTCCTTTGTAACTAGGCCTATCCACATGTCAGAGGGCCCCAAAACATATTCTAACAGCATATGCACGTTCCATAAACATAACATAACTTGTACAACAATAACCATGGCCGCATGGGCAAAATATAACCAAAACGGAATAGTTTTACATAGATCAAATCAAATGATGAGAGTTCATAGGGACCAAATACATAAAAAGCTATTACATGGCTATAAAACAGATGTGGGTACTTCTTTCTCATTTCTTTCTCGTCTTTCCAAGTGGCTTCCTCAACCTGTTGGTTCGGACATAACACTTTTAGAGAGGCAATTTCCTTATTTCTCAATTTCCGAACTTGCCTGCCAAGAAGGGCAACTGGAACTTCTTCATATGACAGTTCCTCATTAACCTCGATAGTTTTAACTAGCACAATAGTGGATGGATCTCCCAATACCTTCTTCAACATAGACACATGGATGACTGGGTGTACCAATGACATCTCGGGTGGCAGCTCGAGCTTGTATGACACCTGACCAATACTCTGAATGATCTTGTATGGTCCGACATACCTTGGGACTCAACTTTCCTTTATTTCCAGACCACATGGTACCCTTTATGGTGGAAACCTTCAAAAATACCCAATCATCCTCTTTGAACTCCAAATCTTTGCGACGAACGTCTGAGTAAGACTTTTGGCGACTTTGAGCAGTTTTCAACCTATCTTTAATAATCTTGACTTTCCATATAGCCTGATGCTCGAGGTCTGGCCCTGTAAATTCAGCTTCTCCAACCTTGAACAACCCAATGAAAGATCTACATCTCCTACCATACAACGCCTCAAATGGAGCCATCTGGATACTAGCATTGAAGCTGTTGTTATAAGCAAATTCTATGAGTGGAAAATGGTCATCCCATCTACCTTTTAAATCATGAGTACGAGAACGCAACATGTCCTCTAGCGTATGAATAGTCCGCTTTGTTTGCCCGTCGGTTTGAGGATGAAAAGCAGTGCTAAGATTTACCTACGTACCCAAACCTTGCTAAAATTTCTTCTAAAAGTTGGTTGTGAACTGAGCCCCTCGATCTGAAATGATTGAGATTGGAGTGCAATGCAATTTGACAATTTCTTTGATATACAACTAAGCATATTGTTCTGCATTGTTGGTAAATTTAACCGTCAAACTGGCTGACTCTGCGGCGATTATGCGGTCCGCATATCTATTATGCGACCGCATAATGGACCGCAGAAACGTACTTTTCTGGAAAACATAATTCCTTGCCTTTTTAATGCACAGAGCAATCCAAAGGGTGGTCCGCACAGCGGCGAGAAAGCTCATTGCGAAGAATTTTTTTGAATTTCTAACACATGATCCTAACTTGGCACTATAAGATTCGGGTTTTTTATTAGAAAATTTCATGGGGCCTTACATACTCCCCCATTTACGATCATTCATTCTCAAATGAGCACCAAGTTTCACTTATTAGCAATCTTTATGCAATCCCTTTCTTTTCACAACATGAAACATATTAATAGTCCTTAAATTTGGCTAACTTCTTAAATTTTCCAAAACTTTCGCCAGCGTTTCCTTTGTAACTAGGTCTATCCACATGTCAGAGGGCCCCAAAACATATTCTAACAGCATATGCATGTTCCATAAACATAACATAACTTGTACAACAATAACCATGGCCGCATGGGCAAAATATAACCAAAATGGAATAGTTTTACATAGATCAAATCAAATGATGAGAGTTCATAGGGACCAAATACATAAAAAGCTATTACATGGCTATAAAACAGATGTGGGTACTTCTTTCTCATTTCTTCCTCGTCTTTCCAAGTGGCTTCCTCAACCTGCTGGTTCGGACATAACACTTTTAGAGAGGCAATTTCCTTATTTCTCAATTTCCGAACTTGCCTGCCAAGAAGGGCAACTGGAACTTCTTCATATGACAGTTCCTCATTAACCTCGATAGTTTTAACTAGCACAATAGTGGACGGATCTCCCAATACCTTATTCAACATAGACACATGGATGACTGGGTGTACCAATGACATCTCGGGTGGCAGCTCGAGCTTGTATGCCACCTGACCAATACTCTGAATGATCTTGTACGGTCCGACATACCTTGGGACTCAACTTTCCTTTATTTCCAGACCACATGGTACCCTTTATGGTGGAAACCTTCAAAAATACCCAATCATCCTCTTTGAACTCCAAATCTTTGCGACGAACGTCTGAGTAAGACTTTTGGTGACTTTGAGCAGTTTTCAACCTATCTTTAATAATCTTGACTTTCCCTATAGCCTGATGCTCGAGGTCTGGCCCTGTAAATTCAGCTTCTCCAACCTTGAACCACCCAATGAAAGATCTACATCTCCTACCATACAACGCCTCAAATGGAGCCATCTGGATACTAGCATTGAAGCTGTTGTTATAAGCAAATTCTATGAGTGGAAAATGGTCATCCCATCTACCTTTGAAATCATGAGTACGAGAACGCAACATGTCCTCTAGCGTATGAATAGTCCGCTTTGCTTGCCCGTCGGTTTGAGGATGACAAGCTGTGCTAAGATTTATCTACGTACCCAAACCTTGCTAAAATTTCTTCTAAAAGTTGGTTGTGAACTGAGCCCCTCGATCTGAAATGATTGAGACTGGAGTGCCATGCAATTTGACTATTTCTTTGATATACAACTAAGCATACTGTTCAGCTGTGTTGGTAAATTTAACCATCAAACTGGCTGACTCTGCGGCGATTATGCGGTCCGCATATCTATTATTCGACCGCATAATGGACCGCAGAAACATACTTTTTTGGAAAACATAATTCCTTGACTTTTTAATGCACAGATCAATCCAAAGGGTCTGCACAGTGGCGATCAAGCTCGTTGTGAAGAATTTTATGAATTTCTAACACTTGATCCTAACTTGGCACTATAAGATTCAGGTTTTTTTGTAGAAATTATCACAGGGCCTTACATACTACCCCATTTACGATCATTCATCCTCGAATAAGCACCAAGTTTCACTTATTAGCAATCTTTATGCAATCCCTTTCTTTTCACAACATGAAACATATTAATAGTCCTTAAATTTGGCTATTTCCTTAAATTTTCCAAAACCTTCGCCAGCGTTTCCTTTGTAACTAGGCCTATCCACCTGTCAGAGGGCCCCAAAACATATTCTAACAGCATATGCACGTTCCATAAACATAACATAACTTGTACAACAATAACCATAGCCGCATGGGCAAAATATAACCAAGACGGAATAGTTTTACATAGATCAAATCAAATGGTGAGAGTTCATAGGGAACAAATACATAAAAAGCTATTACATGGCTATACAAACAGATGTGGGTACTTCTTTCTCATTTCTTCCTCGGCTTCCCAAGTGGCTTCTTCAACTTGATGGTTCGGCCATAACACTTTTACAGAGGCAATTTCCTTATTTCTCAATTTCCGAACTTGCCTGTCAAGAAGGGCAACTGGAACTTCTTCATGTGACAGTTCCCCATTAACCTCGATAGTTTTAACTAGCACAATAGTGGACGGATCTCCCACTACCTTCTTCAACATAAATACATGGAAGACTGGGTGTACCAATGACATCTCGGGTGGCAGCTCGAGCTTGTATGCCACCTGACCAATACTCTAAATGATCTTGTACGGTCCGACATACCTTGGGACTCAACTTTCCTTTCTTTCCAAATCGCATGGTACCCTTTATAGGGGAAACCTTCAAAAATACCCAATCATCCTCTTTGAACTCCAAATCTCTGCGACAAACGTCCGAGTAATACTTTTGGCGACTTTGAGCAGTTTTCAATCTCTCTTTAATAATCTTGACTTTCCCTATAGCCTGATGCTCGAGGTCTGGCCCTGTCAATTCAGCTTATCCAAAATCGAACCACCCAATGGAAGATCTACATCTCCTACCATACAACGCCTTAAATGGATCCATCTAGATACTAACATGGAAGCTATTGTTATAAGCAAATTCTATGAGTGGCAAATGGTCATCCCAGCTACCTTTGAAATCAAGAATACAAGCATTCAACATCTCCTCAAGCGTCTGAATATTCCACTCTACTTGCCTCTCGGTTTGAGGATGAAAAGTTGTGCTAAAATTTACCTACGTACCCAAACCTTGCTAAAATTTCTTCCAAAAGTTGGCTATGAACTGTGCCCCTCGATCTGAAATGATTGAGACTGGAGTGCCATGCAATTTGACTATTTCTTTGATATACAACTAAGCATACTGTTCCGCTTTATCGATAAGTTTAACATCAAACTGCCTGACTCTACGGTCCGCATATCTATTATGCAACCGCATAATGGACCTCAGAAATGCAGTTTTCTGGAAAACATAGTTCCTTAACTTTTTAATGCACAGATCAATCCAAAGGGTCTGCACTGTGGCGAGCAAGAATTTTATGAATATCTAACACATGATCCTAATTTAGCACTACAAGATTCGGGTTGTTGAGTAGAAATTTTCACGGGGCCTTATAGCCAAACATTGAAGGACAAGATCCAAACACTCTTTGACAACAAGGTCATACAAGCAAAGGAAGCCGAACCCAATGTCCGCAACAATCCCCTACCTTATCACATAGGCGACGTCATACATGTTATAGAAACAAATGAGGAATGGGACCCCGAAGAGTCAATCAGGCTTATTCGAGAAGGCGATGACTATAAGGTTGCAGTCACACATACTCCTATCGTAGTTCAGATAAGCTATCGATGTTGAGGTAACTCCACCAGTTCCATTCGAGGTAGAAGTAGCTCCGCCTATAGCCACCTCCGCTCCACTTAAAGTAGAAGTGGTCACATCTTTTTCTGTGACGGTGTCAACCCCACCCCCATTCAACTCAAAAGCAATACCCTATGATTATGTTGCCGAGGCTCGAAGAAAAGGGAAGACTAAGATAAAGGAATCTGACCCAGCACAAGGAATGACTAGAACTGGAAGAGTCTACACACCTGAACACCTGGGAGGTTCAAGAAAGGATGCCACTGCTAGGCACCCTGTCATTGAGACCGGGCCGGATGACCTGTGGGGAAAGTTCAGGCGAAGGAGTATTCTGTTGTTGACCATCTGAACAAAGTCCCTGCTCAGATATCTATCCTGTCACTATTACAGAATTCAGAGGCACACAAGAACGCATTGATGAAAGTACTGAGCAAGGCTTATGCACCGAATAATATCACTGGTGGAGAAATGGCCAACATGGTCGGTTAGGTGCTGGAGAGCCGTAAGATTATCTTCCACGAAGATGAGCTGCCGCCCGAAGGTCCGTATCACAATTGAGTATTGCACATTACAGTACAATTTGAAGACAAATTCATCTCCAAGGACTGATTTGAGTCTAAACATTTGTCCATTGGACACCCTGAAAAGGTTGGGCAAAGGTTTCCACGAAATACGGATAGGCAACATGAATGTGAAGGCTTTCGACGATCAGGGAAATCAACCTTTGCTTGTAGATGGGACCAACATGGTTCGATGTTGAATTCTAAGTGCTTGACATACCAGCCTCATATAATCTTTTGTTGGGCCGCCCATGTATCCATGTTGCTGGAGTCGTGCCCTATACACTACATCAAGCCGTAAAATTCGAATGGAACCATCAGGAGGTAATCATTCATGGAGATGGGAGTAACCCCATCTACACTAGTCAAACTATTATGGCCACTGGACATAGAAGAAGGCTATGAGGGGAAACCTATCATCACATTGAACGGGTCAATGCCATCAAGAAGGATAAGTGGTGGAGTAAAAAAATAGAAAGATTACTAGTATGGTCAGGATATGAACCCGGCAAAGGGTTGGGAAAAAACCTCCAGGGTATCACCAAGCCAAAGGGAATTGTTCTCAGAAACTGGACTGCCACACCATCCCGAGCCCGCCGAGTCCCTAGGTAGATTGGCAGAATTTATAGACGTTCTAGGATTTTTAAATTTCTAGCAATTTTGTTTTAAGATTTATTTATTTCAAAATAAATGCTCGATCCACCGATCCAAGCTTTGTTTGAACAGTTTTCTCTGTTTTAATCAAATGCATTTATCCTTTATCATTATTCATTACTATTTTATACTTTTCCCTTCTACAATGTTATTATTACTTTTCCTGATGAACCAGTGACTGTGACATGTAATAAGGCAACGTAACATGATAATAGTGACTCGGAGGAAGAAGATGAGACACCCGATGAAATTGTCAGAGAAGTTGAGAATTTTGAGAACAAGCCCAAATCCAACTTGGACGAAACAAAAGCAGCATCAGCATTCGCTTGTCACTAAAAGAAAGGAAGAATGCATCCCTTTTCTAAAAGAATATGAGGATATTTTCGCATGGTCGTATGATGATATGACCGGTTTGGGCACATATATAGTAGCTCACAAGTTGCCTACCAATTCCATGTGTCCGCCAGTCAAGCAGAAACTCAGAAAATTCAAACCAGACATGAATTTGAAAATCAAGGAGAAAGTTACCAAGCGGATCAAAGCCAAGGTTCTTAGGGTGGTTGATACCCAACATGGTTAGCTAACATTGTGCCAGTTTTGAAGAAAGACGGGAAGGTTAGGGTATGTGTTGATTATCGGAATTTAAACATAGCAAGTCCCAAGGACGATTTTCCACTACCAAATATACACATCCTAATCGATAACTGCGCCAAGCATGAACTCCAATCCTTTGTAGATTGCTTCGCAGGTTATCATCAGATCTGGATGGATGAAGAAGATGCTGAGAAGACAACTTTTATTACGCCTTGGGTGTATACTGTTACAAGATAATGCCATTCGATCTGAAGAATGCTGGGGCCACTTACATGAGAGCCATGACACCCATTTCCATGATATGATACACAAATAAATAGAGGTGTATGTGGATGACGTTATTATCAAATATAATAGGGTTGTAGATCACATAGCAGACTTGAGGAAATTTTTTGACAGGCTCAGGAGGTACAATTTGAAGTTGAACCCCGCAAAGTATGCATTCGGGATTCCTGCAGGAAAGTTATTGGGATTCACTGTCAGTCGCCGAGGGATCGAGCTAGATCCGACTAAAGTCAAAGCTATTCAGCAGTTACCACCACCTAAAAGCAAAAAAGAGGTGATGAGCTTCCTGGGACGGATCAACTACATCAATCGATTCATGGCACAGTCCACAATAATATGTGAACTCATCTTCAAGATGCTAAGGAAGGATTCCGAGACAAGTTGGACTGAGGATTGTTAGAAAGCTTTTGATAAGATCACGGAATACTTGTCAACACCTCCAGTTCTGGTCCTACCAGAACCAGGAAAACCCTTGCTACTTTATCTATCCGTGTTAGATGGAGCCTTTGGATGTGTATTAGGACAACATGATGAGACAGGAAGAAAGGAGCAAGCCATATATTACCTAAGTAAGAAATTCACACCTTATGAAGCATGGTATTCTCTACTTGAACGCACTTGTTGTGCTTTGACCTGGACAGCCCAGAAATTGAGGCATTATTTCAGTGCCTACACTACATACCTCATATCCATGATGGATCCCCTGAAGTACATATTTCAGAAGCCCAAGGCTACTAGAAAGTTGGCTAAATGGCAGATACTACTGTGTGAGATCGACATCGTCTATGTAACTCAAAAGGTAGTCAAGGGACAAGCATTGACAGATCACCTCGTTGAAAATCCGGTGGGAGGGGAATACTAACTCTTGAAAATATATTTTCCTAATGAAGAAGTATCATTCATAAGAGAAGACATTACTGAAGTATATGATGGTTGGAGGATGTTCTTTCATGGAGCCGCAAATTTAAAAGGAGTAGGCATTGGAGTAGCTTTGGTGTTTGAAATGGGTCAGCATTATCACGTATCTGCGAAACTCAGATTTCCCTGCACCAACCACATGGCAGAGTACGAAGCCTGTATACTAGGGCTCAACATGGCAATCGACATGAACATTCAGGAGTTATTGGTGATTCAGATTTGCTTGTGCACCAGGTACAAGGAGACTGAGCCACCAAGAATTCCAAGATATTGCCATATTTGCACCATGTGCAGGAATTGATAAAGAGATTCACAAAGATAGAATTCCGATATGTGCCCAGAATTCAGAATGAGTTTGCCGACATATTAGCCACTTTGTCATCCATGATAAAACATCCAGATAAGAACTATATTGATCCCATCCCGGTGAGGATCCATAATCAACCGGCATATTGTGCTTGTGTCAATGAAGAAGCAGATGGAAAGCTTTGGTTCCATGACATCAAGAAGTACTTATCAAAAGGAGAATACCCGGAGCATGCAAATCACACTAAGAAATGCACGCTCCAGAGATTGTCAAACCACTTCTTCCACAACGGAGGGAACTTGTACAGAAGAACTCTGGATTTGGGTTTACTAAGGTGTGTCGTCGCAAAGGAAGCTTCAAAGATACTTGAGGATGTGTATGCTGGGACTTGTAGTCCGCACATGAACGGTTTTGCCTTGGCCAAGAAAATACTCAAGGCAGGTAACTTTTGGATGACCATGGAGACGAATTATGTTCAGTATGCCCGCAAATGCTTTCAATGTCAAGTGTATCCCGACATGATAAAAGTGCCGCCAAATGAGCTCAATGCAACAAGCTCACCTTGGCCATTCGCCGCCTGGAGAATGGATGTTATCGGTCTGATTTAGCCCACTGCTTCTGTATGTAGCGAAATCAAAGGACTTAATTTCTCGCTATCAAGTCATTTCAGAAGAATGCCTCGGGACGTAGAGGACATGGAGCCACGACCGAGTCCCCTCTCAAGGGGATCATCGAGGCCCTACTCGAAGAAGATGGAGGTCGAGGCCAGAACAAAAGGGGAAGCTCCCAAGGCACACGACTAAGTCTGACAGAACCGGCCTATCCAGAGCCTATGCCGAAGTGTCGCGTCTAGCCATCCCATCTCCATACTTTACAATTAATGCATGATCATACTATAGCCGGGTTCCCCCTCCTATATAAGAGGAATCCATGCCACTTTGTAAAGGTCGAAGGTTGCTCCAACTATTTCTCCAGAAGATCAATAATATCTCTCTCTCACTTCTCTCAAACTCGCTCGTTCTTATTAGCCCGAGGCCACTTTGGCATCTACCACTCTCCCACTTGTTCTTCATTTATTGCTAGGTATTGGCCATAAAGAGCCTTGTTTAATCATATCTTAACTGTTATCCCATTCCCGACTACCCCCGATAGCTCAAGATCGAGCCCAGGTATCGACCTCGAGGTCCTCCATTGACCAGTCCGAAGACAGGGCAGTAACCCCCTCGGTTCGATTACTGCCTCGTTTTAGCTTGCATTTTATTGTTAAACTTCATATTCCTAGCATCATCTACTCTAACAACTAGCATAAAAATAGATCATGTATTTTTAGAATCCCATTGACAAATTTAATTGTTATTACCATTTTCACGGTAAACAGTTTGGCGCCCACCGTGGGGCTAACACTAATAGTGATTATTTTCTTGCTAGTTTCATTACACAAACACAAGTTGTCTTTCACTTTTTTTCTTGCTCGAAGATCTTTGATATCAGGTCAAAATGCTCGGCTCGGTAAATAGAGTCAAAAATGACAACCTCGAAAACCACGGGCACAGAACCCTGATAACACGGCCGGGCCGACTCTAGCGGACGAGAACTCACAAGACGCTCAACAGGTTGACGAAACCTCACACACCGACAAAAGCATATGTCATAGCGACCGACAGGAAGCCGAAAAAACCCCAGCCCGGGAAGAACAGGAAGCTAGCCTTCATGTTATTTTTAAAATGTTGCAGGCACAACAGTTGGCCATCGCTCAGTTACAAAGTCATCGGAAGACTCCCAGCACAGCAGCACCGAAAGCAGCTCCCCCACTGAGCAAGTACCTGAGAGACCAAGCAACAACGGATCGGTAACCAACCCTGCAATAGAAAAAATGCTTTGGGATCTCACCGAAAGGATCAGATCAGGCTGATGAAGGTTCGTGCAACGACCGTTCATCGAGGAAGCGGCCCCGGAACCCATTTCAAAGAAGTCCCGAACTCCAGATCTCCCTGAGTACAATGGAACCTCAAATCAGAACAAACACATCGCTGCCTATACATGTACAGGAAAAGGCAAACGGGATGACGAGTTCGAGCTTGTCTTATTGAAGAGGTTCGAGAAACATTCTTGAAAGGAACCATGATATGTCATTATAACCTACCGCCTTACCCCATAAACTCGCCTACCGTACCAGTAGACTCCTTCGTAAAGGCATACGTCAGTGCCATTGAAACGACGACGAGAAAGCCCAACGTATCTAGGGCCGAGCAAAGGGAGAATAAAATGCTACGGGGATTCGCACCTCATTCCCCGATAGAAAAAATGGGGTTACCCCCGGTCTCGGCTGATTGGGCAATACAGGCCTTCACTAAAAGACTAAACAAACAGAGCCTAATGATTTCAGGGCAGTTCAAACAAAGCTTGATCAAGTACTTAGTCAAGACTTGGTCGGATATTCGTACCCGGCATCAGTCACAAACTAGGGTCATGGATGACCGACCGGGAGCCCCCTCGAGCTCAACTTACCCAAATAGGCTCCTAGAAAAGAAACCAATGCCAAGCAGAGTGAGGTACTGCCAGTGCACCGCAGACAGATGCAATGTCCCGAGATGCAAACTACCTCGTAACGATCGGAGGATGGCCCGAGGGCAAAATCCTCGAAGGATCGTTAACAAAACCAGATTCAATAAGGATGTATGGCCGGCAAGAGTGCCTCGCACACCAGAATACAATTTCCACATCGCTCTACTAAGCATCGTGCTCACCATAGGCGAAGTTGGGGACGTCAAATGGCTCGGAGCAATTCGGTTGAATTCCTCGCAAAGGCGTCACAGCCTGGCATGAGAACTACATAGCAAGTGCGGTGGTAGGGCCGATGGTAGCCACCAACTCTGAAGTAAAGACGCCAAGCCGCATAGCAAAAATCACCACATAGAACTGACGAGCACCCGAATTCAAGTTCAGTCCCTAGTACGGGATGCAGCCAAGAGGAACGAAGCAAGCGTGCTGCAGCACATCACCGCGATGATGGAGGAACGACGACCCTTTCCACGAACTTGTAAAAATGAGAGGAAAATTTCTCGCCACCAGAGAAAGGCAGATCTGGGGATATACCCCAAGGATGCCCTTACATTTAGCAAAGAGGGTACCGAGACCTCGTCTCGACCTTGCAATGACGTATTGGTAACCTCCTTTGTTAGTCGATCCATTTTAAATAAAACATGTGCACATGAGTGCATATGGCTCGATCAGTATTGGCGGGAAAAGGATGATGGGGAGGCTCGGACCGCCGGGTCAAAACACAACCACCTCCCAAATCTTTGACAAATTCCAAATAGCGATCAATACGACGAGGAGAAAGACCATTTTCTTAGTACGACATGACTGGACTAGGCCGGAACATCGAGTTCCATATCGTTAAAGGAGGCGCAAGGCGCAAATGCCTTATCCAGACGATCGCGGGTGCATCACCCGAGGACGAGTCCGCCCCCACTTCACCAAAAGAACGAAATCACACACAAGGGACATAATTAAAACTGTCGCCAGGAAGCAATACAAGACAAGGGGAAATCTCACGTCACCGGCATCAACATCTCCACCCTCGAAAGAGTCATAAGGTAAGCGAACCACATCATCAGCCAAAGCCGATTAAACACAACAGAGGGCTATGCTAGAATCCATACCCCAAAACAGCGGGAATATACCAAACCTTGGAACATCGCCTACATATCCCGTTGTAAAGAAAAACTACCTCCCTCCTTCATTATTTTTCACTAACCTGTATGCATACACCGGGTCAGGGCATTCGGAAGATCTAACTCTACCCAGAGCCCTCGAGGCCTTAACAGGAGCCATCGCACTCTTTCCCATCAGCTGGGCTTCCCCCCTAAGAGGGTTTCGCCAACAAGATACTTAGCGGAGAAACGTACCCCTGAGGAGGATCTGACATGATCATAGGCCTTCTTCTGTAATCAAACGATAAAGGGCACCCCCCCTAGAGGCGGCATCCGCTTGAAAGGACTAGGGAATGTCAGGCTGAGTTCACAATAAGGAATCATGTACCAGAACAAATGGTCCAACGAGTCGCATCCACACGGGTTGAGCTCACAACAACGAAGCAATATGTATTTATGCCAAACAATAAAAGGATATCTTTCAGCATCTCATACTCCAAAGAAGGAAATTTCAGTATACTCTCGGCAGGTATCTCCCCGCCAAATACGTCTCGAAATACTCAGAGACTTAGTGTCAATAATTTGGCACCCGCACAACCCAGGGTCGGAACTCCGGGCTCGTAAAGCCTCATCAAGGTAACTCCAAGCTCATGAGTAATGGCCTTTAAGACGAAGCAAACTCGATGACTCAGAGACTATCTCCAATCGCCGAACACTGGAAAACTCGAAGCTGTAAGACCCCGAGCGGGTAGACTCGGTGTAACCAGATCTATTATACATGGCAACACAAACTGTAAGACCTCAATAGGTATGGCAAACTATAATACCTCAACAAGCATGACAAACTGTAAGACCTCAATAGGTATGGCAAACTATAATACCTCAACAAGCATGACAAACTGTAAGACCTCAACAGGCATGAAAAACTATAAGACCTCAACAGACATGAAAATTTTGTAAGACCTTACTACAGGCATAAAACTCAAAATCCTGAAGTTAGGCTATACGTTGCTTTTGTAAGAATCCCGAAAGGGCATATCTTTGGTGTATATTCCTAAACTATCACTCAGGATCAAAAATGGCTCCGCCAGACACATATGACTACGGTCAAAATGGCTGCTCCAGCCAAATTAACGTGACTCAGGGACGCCCGACTATCGCTAACAAAATCGCAGGCCACTACTTCTAATATACTTCGAAAAGAACCAATTAAAGCAGGCCTCCCTCAATAGGCAAACGAGCTTCGACAATGTCACCTCCAAAACACAAGGCTTTGAGCTACTCAGCCTATGAGCTAAGAACCTTTTGAGGTGCTCGAATATCGCCACTAACGACTTAAAATTGAGGTTCTTCCAAAACCGACGAGGTGTCAGGCAAAATTATTTCCAAAAAGACCTTAACGAGAGGAAAACAAAGCCTACAAAAAGCCAACAAGCAAAAGCATAAGAGCCATTGTCGCCAGCCAAACGAGCCTCTGGGCCGCACAGTAAAAGGTCTCAACGACCAAACTGCGTAAGAGCCACTGTCGCCAGCTCAAAAATTGAAAACTTGAGGATTAAAATGAGCTCAAGTCATAACCTGATTTTGAGACCAGATCCAAAATAGTTAACTATAATATGCCTAAGGGCACAACATAAATGCCATTGTCACCTGCCCAATGAGCCTCTGGGCCACACACTTGTAAGGTCACTTCGACCCGAAGCACAAAATCCATCATCGTTCGCCCATGCAGTCAAGGAAAAGATTGAGGGCCAATTAAAGCTCGAGTCGTAATGCGACCCGAAGACTGAACCCAAAATACTTGAAATAACAAGCGTCCAAGGGCAAGAAATAAAGACAATTATCATCCGCCCATGCGGGCACAAAGGATTGAAGGTCAGGAAAACTCGAGTGAAGGCCAAACTCGGAGACTAAGCCTAAATAGCTGGGCAAAACATAGAGGCCCCAATGTCTACTCACATCAGAAAATGCACCTAAGGGCCTCCTGGAGTATCTAGTAAGCTCTGGATCCACAAGTCTCCCACCAGACATCGAAACCAGTCTGCCTGGTCAAAAGCATTGAAGAAAGAGATACAAAAAGGATAAAACTTCAAGTTTTCTCTTATTTTACATACGCAAAAGGCTTTCTCTCCATCTACAAACATGCTCTGCAAATACCAAGTACAAAATGGAAAAACGGCAAAATCTACACTCCAAAAGGCTACAGCCTACTAGCCCCAGATTCGCTCTCCATGATGTTTGAAAGTAGGGACCAAGCGTCGCACTCGTCCGCCCTTGCTCGAGCCAACTCCTCCGAGAAAATGAAGCCCCTAGTGCTGATCTCCTCGAGTACCTCTCTTCAAGATCTACAACGAATATATTCTTCGATCCTCTTCTCAAGGTCGAGGGCCCGCTTCAACTCAGTTTGGGCATCACCAGCATCCTTCACATGAATCGCCATCTCCTGATCAGCCTTGGTTAAACTTAATGCTGCTTCAGCCCAGGCATCAATTATCTCAGCCCTCATTCGAGAGATCGGACTCGAGCTTCCCCATCATAACCGCTTGAACTATAGCATTGTCATGCGCCAAGCGGAGTTGGGCCTCGAAGGCAGGAACCTTGGCCAAGGCACCTTTCTCCTCCATAGCTCGAGCCTGCACCTGAGCCCTTAGTTTACCGCAACCATTCCTGACGCAGTCAGTGTCACCCTTAAGTTACTCCAAGGCCTCCGTCTTTTTCTACAGCTAAGATAGGAGAAAGAGTTAACCTTAAGGGTCGAAAAGAGCGAAGTGCGTACTACGAAAGGTTACATGCTCCGTCAAAAAGCTCTCGTAATTTGAGCTCAGGTATGCCTCATATCGCCAATACAGCAACTCAACCTCCTTCTCCTCGCTAAGGAGCCTAAGGGACTCACCCTCATCCAGAGCCTTTCAAAGCCTGGCCGATTGATGGAGTAGCTTAGACATGAGCCTATCAAAGGCGTGCAAAAGGAAAACTCGATGAAGAAAGGAGGACACGAAATACAGAAGAATTGCGCCAAAACTCACCATGAAGTGAAGCCGGCGGACTTCCTCAAAGGCAGAGCACACTCTTGTTGATCTTGCCTCTTCGGCCCCGGGAGAACCAAGCCCGGGAAAAGCATATTCACTCAGAGGAACCGTCGTTCGGGAATCAAACATCGCAGGAATAGCAGGCTCAGACGATGTCCTCTCCTCGAAGACATGGGCCCGTTTAGCCCCACTAAAAGCTCCATCACACTGCTAATACAGATCCCGTTTGTCACCATCATCCATCAGCTTGGAGGCCGACGAATCCTTCCCTTCTCCGGAAGAACATATCCTTACCCCAAGGAGCCACACGATACATGCAACGGCAAAGCCAGTGCAAAAGAAAAAGGAAATCTATCAAAAGAGTCCGTAATGCTCTCACCCAGGGAAAGCACCTGCAGCATCACCCCCTCGCTCCATCCGTAGTATTTCCTCACCATATCCAGATGTTCCTCTCTTATCAAAGACACAGTCTTTAGAGTGAACTCCCGCGGATCCTGAACGCTGGGCATGGAACTCTCCTCTCTC